TGACCACTTCACACACCGTGGAGTGAGTGATCATTGGGTCCGAGAATCATGTGCCCTAGCATTATTATTTTCCCGAAGGTTAAGCTGATCGGGCCTTCTTCCCGAAGCCCCGGCACATTCGTGTGACCACGCCATCATCATTAACCATTTACCATCCCCCACACCGTGATGTAAGTGGCCCAAAAGTCGTGTGCCTAACATAACCTAACTTAATCAGACTTAATGAGCCAAGAATGATACCCTCCTGCATTTGTCCATACCTGCTTGCCGTAGCGCGGCAAGCAGGTATCTTTATCTTGAGAATCTAGACTAGAGACGATATTATTTCACCAATGATTCCAATGATTAGTACAACCATTGACAGAGTGGTCTGGATAGAGTCTGCGGAGTTCGAAGGGAAAATCTCGTCTTACTCGTAGCTGATAACTCCATCACGAATATTGTCTTGCTCTGATGGTCTAGAAGAACTACATCAGGCTCACTAGCTTGTATGAGCCTGAGGGTGGGAAATGAACAGTTCCAATGGAGTCGCCACTATTCATACCTCACAAGGAATAATATATTCTGGAGCGTAGGGCAACACCGGTGTCTCGCGAATGCTGCAAAAGTGCTTATGCGGTAATAAAGCACTTTCAGGGTCGTGATATGGATAGAGATCGAGACCGCATATGCTGACCCACTTACCCCCTTGTTTTTGACACAACATTTATCTGATGTCTTCATTGAGCCAGTTAACAACCCTGTTTCTATATTGTGGTGATAGCATATCCCATTCTACTATCTAGCATCTCTGAAGTTGGTGATCAATAATATAGGTTAAACTTTTGTCTATATGGCAAAGTAAGAAATATAGTACTATAAAAGTTCGTAAGCTATCACATAGCGCTACTAGTATCAAATCCAAATGATTTTCACGTGTACAAATGTACAAATTTTACAGCTGTCGGACTATTAGTTTGTAGGATATGATATGAAATTTTGAGTGAATCAACTTCCATTAGTTTGAAGAAAACGGATAAAAAAAGAAATTCGTGTGTTGATAAGACATTGCAAAAAAAATACTGTTGAAGCCAAAGCTTGCCTTGATAAACGTTATTCACATCTTGCACCAGGAAACTCAACCGTTGAGAAGTGGTTTGCTGAGTTTGAACGAGGTAAAATATGAGCATCGAAGATTATGCACGTAGTGGAAGCCCCAAAGAGGCTGTTCCGTGAGACATATCGTGCATGAATATTTGGGTATGCGAAAGCTTTGTTCAAAGTAGGTGTTCCACGAGATCACAATGGACCGAAAACAACAACATATCTTGAAAAGGAAAAAATCATTAGCAGCGACTATCGCATAGCGTTATTGGAGCGTTTGAAGGACGAAGTTGCGAAAAAAAGGCAAAAAAAAGAAAATACTGTTCTACAAGATAATGCACTGTGTCACAAATCAATGAAAACGATGGCAAAATTGCATGAATTGGTATTTGAATTGCCTCCGCATCCACCGTATTCTCCGGATCTGGCCCCAGCGACATTTTCCTTTTCTCAAACCTCAAGAGAATACTTGCCGGAAAGACATTCAGCACAGATGAAGAGGTAATGACTGATGACAAATAGTACTATAAAAATGGTATCTTAGTCTACGAGTTTTTCAGCCCAACTTAGGTAATTTGGCTGTACCCACTGCCACAAACTTCTATTTTTCGAAGGTTTTGTCAAAAAACCATTATGATCGATTTGTTTCATCTTTTGTTTCTCATTTCATGACAATAGCTTCATAGATAACATAAGTGGGTTTAACATCGCCAGTTAAAAAATGAGTCCTCGTGTCCTTGAAAAGAGAATTTCATGTTCCATTGAATGGTATCGAAAAATACAAAATATCTCATTCAGAATTCTTGATTTGGGTCCACCGATGGCTAAACCAGAGAACATATCCATTTGTTTTATTGTTGAACCATATCTATATTGCAAATACAAAATTTGTAACCTCACAAACAATAGAATGGCACAAGTTACAATGCTTTCATTGGCACCTGAATTATGGAAGTTATCCATAGCTGTAGCTGTGAGTAGCTGTGAGTTTTAGTTATAACGAAAAAGTGCTTAATATACACACAAATAAACATTTGTGACTATGCTTTACGAGTGACATTCTTGAAGCACTAAGATTTTCTTAGAAATAATCTCCCTAATCATTTCATATGATTCTAACTATTATTTTGCGAAGAGTAGTAGAGAAAATAATTTTGCTCCTCTAATAATTATTCAAATTCCAGTATGAAGATCATTTATGAATATTTCTAACTACTCATTACATTTCTCAATGTATAGTATATACTATTTACAGCAGGGGTGCTCAAACGGACAATCGCGATCGACTAGTCGATCGCGAGTGCTTTTTGAGTCGATCTCGAGAAAAAAATTCCGATATAGAACTATTCACAGATTTTGTTTTAGTAGATAGGAAACTAGAACGAAATGAAATGAATAAACTACTAAAATTTATTCGATCCACAATTAGGCCAGAATAACACCCTCATTCCTGAGTCACACATACTTGCAGCCTCTTGAAAGTCGATCGATCGTATATAGTCTAATAATATTGAGGTAGATCGCCAACAGTTCAAGTTTGAGCAACCCTGATTTACAGTGATGATTCGATATTATCGAACTCCAATATCGAAGTAATTTGCTACTGGTAGTCGCATATTCTACCAATGACGTCAAAACAAGGCGGCCCAAAATGTTGACATTCCGCAACCCCTCCTGTAGTACAAACCCTGAGGCTCCGTACCAAATTCCTGGGAGCGCACTGACTCAACGTGAAAGTATGGAAACTTGAGAAGATATAAATATTGATGAACTAAAAAATGCGGAAGTATAATAATCGTATGTTGCGTACTCTGAAACACCATACTCTCAAATAAATTAGTCATTTGTTGCTGATCGCCAGAAGGAAATGGATTCTAATGGAAATCACGAATATTTCGAAACGAGTTTGTATAGCTATATCTACATTGCAATTTCTTTGTCATGGGGCCGAGCCCGTTGACATTCTATTCATTATAATGGTAGGATGGGTAGGAACGAGTAGTAATTACCATTACCTAGATTTTGTTCAAGTTCATTCTTCCTACGTTGTTATTAAAATAAACGACATTATTTTTCCTTGGTAATGGACGAACTTCCTATGAAGAAACTCTCAGGAAACTCAAGGAAAAACGCTGAAGAGACAATTTTAACTCATGGTACAACAGTACGATCAATAGTACACTTAGATATCGTTCAAAGTCAATCAAATGTAAGCAAATGGAACTTTTAACAGGTGATGATCGACTGTATTGCCAAAAACAAGTATATAAACAAGTATAAAAACAAGTATAGGTGGGGCACCAGTCAATCTAACAACACTTATGATCTCTTACGAAGGTTCAAAATAGATGAACACTTCAATCTAGCAGACCACTGTTATAATCTTCATGCAGTCATTGTTCGCTGTGGTTCTGGCGTTGAATCTGGTCATTATTATGCCCTGGTCAAAGACGAAACGGACTGGTTTAAGTTTGACGATAGTCGTGTCACTAAGTGTTCTGGCGATGTATTGAATTCATTGGAGCCTCTGGAGACACCCTACATTTTGTTTTATAAGAGAGAGGACATTGGCAGATCAAGATCTTCAGTTGATGTGGTGCTGCAGGTTCTTCCGGGTTTTCCTGTAGCTGAAAAAACAAATGCGCAACTGGAATCAACGAAGTCGCCCTGAAGCGCCAATTAATTTTTGTTGTTTTTTATAATTACCAGAAAATAAATTTCCCAATTTGAGAAGTAACCAAACTATACTTATGAAAAAACATATTATGAGTTTGCCTCTGTGATTCTTTTTGGATTCCAGGGATATAAGATCACAAATGATGCTAGAGGAAATATCCCTCAAAATAAATGAGGGTGAGGTAGCACAATTTTGGAATCTCGCAAAAATGTGTGTGGTTCCTCAGGGGTCTGTTCTCGGTCCATTGTTGTTCCTGGTTTACATAAACGACTCAGCTCGCATTGACATCGAAGCAGAATGTACTATTTTTGTTAATGACACCGCAGTAGTATGGCATTGAAGGAGCAATGATCAACTTAGTGATAATATTACGGACGATTCAGATGTGGGTCAATACGAGTAAATTCGAATATCTGGATATTTAATTATCAATGTTTCATTGGCCTCTTCTGCCTCCTACTTTCATTTACATATCTCATCGTTAATGAGATTCGGTCCAAAGAATTGAATATCAGAAATTATATCAGTTTCACAAAACTTTGATTATACAACTTGAGTTTGATTTTTGAACTGAATATGAAATTGTAAAAACAATATTCATATTTTTCATTTGAAGTACTACATCTATTCAAAAATTTGTTAAGGTAGCTTTCGGTTGAAAGATTGGGTTTTCAAATTTTCATATCAATTAATATCATTTGTATTGAAAACGATCAGTAAGAGAAAAACTGAGTTGATTCATAATTTGGAACGTACTGTATCTGTTTCTCATTAAACTTACTTTTCTGAAGGTATACTGTTCAATATTTTCGATTATTTTGGCAATATGACAATTCAGTATTATTGAACATTGTTTTCTTTAAGAGTTTCCAAAATTTATCGATGAAGATTTTAAGCTGTTCTTTCTTCTGAGGTAGCTGCTGTCCTTTTTATATTGTATTTTTCATATCAGGAAATTTTTTTGATTTTCGTTGTTTTACATGAATATTTTCTGCTGTTTTGTATTGTGAGTTTGAGTTTTTCTACATCATAATTTTCAATTGTTCTGAGTAGTAGTTCTGTTTTTAGTTTCAGCTAATTCAGCTTCTTTGTGTGGCAATATTCAGCTATTCCGTGTAGTAAGTTTAGACTGTCATCTGTGGTAATTTTCAGTTGCTGTCCATCAACAGTTTTAACTATTTTGCTTTATCACCTGCATCTATTTGGTGTGGCAACTTTTGATTGTATTTCAGGTTATTAGGGGAAAGTGGTCACCATTCGTACGCGGGGCACATTCGTACAATTGGTATAACAGAAAAACTAAACGGCACACAAACACATCTTTGCTTATGTGCATAGACATATCGACCACCATGTTGCTAGCGGAGTGTCGCGCCAGTGGCACCATGGTGTTTCAGCTGATAAGATATGACGTGTTTTTGCGGGCTGTGAGTAAATTTTTTACCTAATTTCAGTTCGTAACTGTAAGTAGAATTGTTATGTTTTCGACAAAATGGTGATGAATGATTAATGTTAACATTGTTTAGTTTGAGCTTCAATTGTTATATTTCTCAAACCAAATTAGAATTTGTATAAAGTTGTATTTTAATTTTGTGCAAAGGCATGGGGTGCATTCGGACAGCCAGACAGGGGGCACATTCGTACGCGTACGAATGCTCCCCTTTAGATTGTATTAACCCACTAGTATATAAAATTTAATTTCTATGAAATAAAATGTAGTATCAGCTTTTAAAATTATCGTGCAAATAACACAATAACATATTTTTTCTTTTATGAAATATTCTACTTCTGAAAAAATTAAATATTTTTGATGAGTCAACGTTATAATTAATATTTTATTGCAGAATCATGGTGCGAAAATATAAAAAAAAAGGTACGCGCACTCAAGAAGTGGATGAAAAGTCCATGAATCTAGCAATTGATGGTGTAATACAAAGACGGTTGTCGTATAATCCTCAAGACATTATTACCGGAACTGGTGAATCTTCCACCTCTGCCGCCGAGCCACAATCTGTACCGAGTTCTTATCTTCCCATAACACCAGAGGTCATAAGACATCTGGTTCAATAAAAAAAAAGAAAGCTAAGAAAATAGAAAGCGTCGAAGATTCAGAGGAATCTAAAGGATCACAATTTAGCTTGCGGGAGAGTTCAACATCTCCAGTTGATTTAAAAATGGACGAAGAGACTGATGATCATAGTATCAATAATAATTCAATTATGATACCAGAGAAAATCAAAGATAATTGTTATATTTTGGGAAAATTAAAAAAAAAAGACTTCTGTTGTTCATTACGTCGGAAAAGTTCTCAGTTATTATTCCGGTATAGAGATGAATATATCTTATCTGTGTATCAGAGATGTCGCCATGATCTTTCCTGATCCTCAACCACGAACGGGCTGTGCAGTTAGAATGACTAGACTTTATACATTTGCAGTCGATTTGAATAATTATAATGTGCAATAAGTTTCAAAGAAACAACCAAATGTATGATTACCTATTTTAAGTTTGAATTGTCAAAGACTCTGTAACGATGTCATACAAAATGATTGCAAACATCTCATTTAGACTGATTGTAAAGCTTAGTAAAGTAAACTAAGGATGAACGATTTTATTTTTTGTTATTTTTTTAAGAAAGTTTTATCGACTATAGTCAAGTCACATATTTTTAAGTTAGTTCATTGTTAAATAAATATTTTTATAATTATTAAAAAAAAAATCAACGACTTCAATTGGCTTTTTAATTACCATGTATGAATCTACCCCATGGCGTACGAAAGTACCCCCCCTATTGTACGAACGTACCCCGTACGTGGGGTACGTTCGTACAAATATCTTATCGTAGAAAAATCGCTATAACGCTTTAACCTTTTGACATAATAGATTCAAACTTTTTTGTAATAAACTACAATATATTTGTTACACTCTGGTACATAAAGTTGATAAATTCAACAATTAGTCATGAAGAAAAAAAATTAAATCTAAAAAGTGTACGAAGGGTAACCACTTTCCCCTATCCTTTTGTTGTTTTAACACAGTTGCTCTGAGTCATTATACTGGGGCTACACTAGATGACAATAATTCTAAGTGAATAGAGTTTACATATATGACTACATGTTGTTTTATTCTTTTATAATAGTATCTCGTCTTATGTTTCGGTTGGATTAAATTTTGGTGATATAGTGGACTGTTGAAAAAATAAGGTGAATGTTCAAGTTTCGCGGGCTACGTACATTCGATATGCGATTTTTTTCTGTTGCTACACTCGTCTCGAACATATTATCACGTTTTTCCCCGTGGGTTGACCAATAATTGACTACACTGAATAATAAAACTCAACTTTATTTCACTTCAAATATAAAAACACTTCAAATAAACTTCAACTATTATATGAATGTCTATCGCCTTCCTAGATCGCTTCTCGTACCGCACTGTAGCTTCCACTTGACTGAGTCGATATGCTCGAAGCTAGCGTTTATATATCGTAATCGAGCGCACACTCTTAGTATACCAAAGAAAATATATTTCATCAAGCAAACACGTCCGTCACATATACAACACCCGATATAAGAATGAAGCCTTGAAAGTACCTAAGATGACTAAAACTATTGGACAGAGATGTTATGTTTTTCTTGCTCCTAAACTATTCAATGAAATTCCAACTGAAATTAAGAATCTCAATTCACTGTCCCTATTTAAGCGGGAAGCTAAGAAATGGATCAATATCTGTTTAAATCAATATGAAACCAAGAAATAAGATAAACTGTTTGATAGACCTCAAAAATACAAATTGAAATGTATCCATTCAGTAGGAAATGCTTTCTCGTTTTATGTATTTATTTAATTGCTTTCCGATCAATATTTTATAAATTTACTATATATTTACAAATAACTAGTTACTTATTTTAGAATTCAGTGTATAATAAATTTAGTGATCCACGCGCAGGTTAGCCTTTGAGGATTTTCTCTGTGTTTGTTTACTTACATTCTTCAATAATGAATTGAAAGTGTATGTATTGATTCTTTGGTAAATAATTATTATTATAGTAGAAATTTAGCCGAGGTTCCGTCGAAATCGGTACCATTATTCTCGCTCCTTCTAGAGCGGCACGGAACATCGTATATTTGCGCGCTTTTAGCTACGTCATGATTGGTTTATGGCTACCAGTGGCGGCCGGCGTTATATTTTTCAGGGCATGATTTACAACAATATGTTCATAGTTTCAGCTGTTTAGCATGTGGAAGATATAAAAGTTAGAAGTATTTTGCGTTATATGATAGAATTGGCCGATACTTGATGGAAATCCATAACGAACGTATTCTAAAAACACTTAATTGTGTGATTTTCACTAGACAGTTTTACAAAAAAGCAACACGTGTTTCTCCATACAATGGCTTCCTCGGGCGTGTCTTAATAACTCAGTTATTAAGAGTTATTAAGACACGCCCGAGGAAGCCATTGCATGGCGAAACACGTGTTGCGTTTTTGTGAAACTGTCTAGTGAAAATCACACAATAAAGTGTTTTAGAATACGTATTTTGCATGTTCAGCGATTTTCTGCTATCGAAAAAAATGGATCAAACAATTTGCATTGAGCTTTGTGTAAAAAATGAAACTGAGTTCTCAAAAAACAATTGAAATATTGACAGAGGCATACGGTGATTGTACTTTGAGACAGAACAATTGTTTAAAAGTGGTATATGTTTGTCACAGAAGGTCAAGAAGATGTAAATGACGACGCTCGCCTAAGACGCCCCAGTACGTCAACAACCAATGAAAATGTTTAGAGAGTGTAGAAAATTGTCATGTAGAATCGACGAATCACTATTATAGAATTTGGCGGTTGGCTCATGCCAATTTCATCGGAAATTTTGGGGAGGAAGCGCCTGGTAGCAAAGTTCGTTCCAAAATTGCTGAATTTTGACTGAAGAAACCGTCGCTCGGGAATGGTTGAATTTAGATTTGCTTAAAAGGCTCATAACTGGTAATGAATCATAGGTATATGGTTATGACATCGAAACTAAAGTTAAATCGTCCCGTCCCAACGAAAGATTCCAGGATCAAATGCCAAGATTTTGTTCACTGTTTTCTTATATAACCATGGCGTAGTGCATCCGTAGTTCCTGCCACAAGGTCGTAAGGTCAACAAGCAGTATTATCTTGAAGTTATGTGCTGCTTGCGATAAGCAATACGAAAGAAAACGTCCGGTACTGTGGAAAAACAATTCATGGCTTCACGATAATGTACCTGCTCACTTGTTATTGCTTGTTCGTAAGTTTTCAACCAAAAACAACACCGTAATCATGCCTCTGCCACCGTATTCACCAGATTTGGCCCCATGCGACTTTTTCCTATTCCAAGATTGACGAGACCCAATGAAAGGGCGGCGTGTTGTGACGATTGAGGAGATACATAATATAGAATCGCTGAGAATGGTCAAGGACATACCTAAAAGTGCATATCAGAACCGCTTCGAGGATTGGAAATAACGCTGGCACAAGTGTATTATATCTGAGGGGTATTACTTTGAACAAATATTTGTCGGGACTGGTAATAGGTGAATTATTATTTAGACGAACACAGCGTTCATCGATAATAAAATGTATTAACAACAAAGCGCAATGACAAACACGAGAAAGAAAATTACAGGGTAACCTTTAGGAACTTCCCGATCAGCGGGACTGTAGAGCGGGTTTAGTTCTCGGCGGAAACCCCTGAATAAGAAACAGTTCTCGGCCGAAATCTTTGAAAAAAATGGATGTCTCGGCTAAGAAATGTGTGAAGTAACTCTCAAAAAATTATCACTCACAATGGTCGGCGTCATAAATATATTCAAAAAAAGGTCAACCACTTGGGCCCGAATTCCTTGTTTCAATCCATAAAAGTGTTAACAATGAGTACCTACTCGAAACATCCCAAGTGGTGTCTGTCGTTTTAAATATTCATGTTTTTCGGCAATAAACTTTCGTTTGGAGAGAAGAGAGTATTTCAATGATATGCGATGAGAAAATACGAAAATGATAAGTAAAAATTAAAATAAAAGAATTAATATAAAGACCCAAGCAGATGGATATTTTGGCCGACTGTTGTCGTCCAAAATATATATCTGCTGTTTCTAAACTAAATAGTCGTAGGAAAACCTTACAGATTTTTTGAGAAAAATGAAAGTTCAACTAAATTTTTGAACAAATAGCGTATTGAAATGGTTTAAATTCTGAAAGACTAGGTATAATCGACATATTAAAAGTTTTGATTAAACTAGAACTTTCAACCATCGTTTTGACCTCATCTTTCCGAACAATAATTCTGCCAATCATCCTAATTGATCGCTTGCTTGACTAATGATGATATCCGACTAAATGCGGTGCTCCGACATTGTAAGCGGAACAGTCAATATAATAGAAAAACATCTGCGCCGCTAGTCATGGCCAGCTGTATAATAGCAAAGGAATGCTAGGAAAGTGACGATAATCCGAGACTTGGCTCGTTTCTTACTTTTTTACTTTCGAGGACGCAGTGGTCACTTTCTACGAGGTATTCCATTATTACGTCTTTCAAAGAATATTTGCGAGACTAGTGGTGCGTGAGAATGAAGCAACTCACAAAATCGAATTGTAAAAAAAAGTTTTAATTGGTGTTTGATGTATAAGATAATTTATACTATCACTACTGAGATTGATAAATGGTTTAATTGAGATGAAATTATAATTGACTGTGATTGTTCTTATGTTTTATGGGAAAATAGCACACGAACTTTCAAACGATTGAACCATAACTGCTATGGATTTTAAAATGAAAGATAAAATGAAGGGTTGACATTTTGGAAGAGTTTTTTAAATAGATCTACGGATAAAATATAATAACGTGTAGGAGTATTTAAGAACTTTTGTCGAGGATCAGAAGGGCTAACATGGAAAAATCTGACACTCTATGAGATAGAAAGTGGCTTGAATTAGAAAAATATTTTCTATTTTTGTGTTTTAGTAACGTTTCAAAATTTGAGCAATGCTGATCACTTGTGATATAGTCTATCCATTCCCAATTGGAACGGCAATAAAAATAAGAGTACAGTCATAAACATTTGCCTGTGGCCCCTAGTCGCCCAGATAGTTAATAAACGTGCTATCAAATGTAGTTGAGGAATGAAGGCTCGGCTAGCTGGACTGGCTGAATACAAATTTTTTGTCCGTTTCACAATATGTCTTCATCAATGCCGTGTGTTCGTGGGGTTAGGTGAGGTAGTGTGAGGTTTTGCAAACCGATTTTTGATAACTTTTTCTAGAGATCAATTACCCTAACACCAAACTGATATTTTTGCACTCGACGCGCGTTTCGCTAACAAGGTTAGCATCTTCAGGACAAGCAAATTGATAGTGAATCTAGAGACAAAGGTTAACTGTTTATATACCTAAAGTTTTTTGGTCTGATGTGGACGTTGTTTGTTAAATGATGATTATCCTAATTGATTTTTCGGTAATTAACTAGTGGAACCACTACCTGCAAATTGATTTGTCAACAAATGATTAAAAAGCGTCATTCGACAGTTCTTCGAGTCATTAAAATAGGGGATGTCGATGTCATTGACCATGCAATGAAACGAAAACAAAGGAATGAAAAATTCGCAAACGTTGATGGTGCTACAAAAGATGTGATTCGGCGAACAATTTATGGTATATTCCAAAATAATGAAATACCAACCTTGGAAATGATTTGGCATAAATTACTCGACTATCCCGATTACAATTACAAATCTTTAGAAACTCTACGAGGTGCCTTATTGTCTTGTGGTTTCAAATATAAAAAATTGAACAATCGGATGGTCATGATGGAATCGACACGGATTATTCAACTCCGACAAGAATATTTGAGGCGAATGAAAAGCTACCGAGAATCCAGCAGACATATAATCTACCTCGACGAAACTTGGTTTGACACCCATGATGTCAAATATGGCTGGGTAGAAGAAACCAAGTATTGTGCTTTGAACACCCCTTTTTTAAGGGGATAACGTGTTATAATTTTGCATGCCGGGAATGAAAGTGGTTTCGTACCTAACGCTTTGCTTCTATCGGCCAAAAATATAAAAGATTCGTCTACTGATTACCACGAAGATGAGACTGCGGCTTTATTCGAAACCTGGTTCAGTGAGCAGCTTCTCCCAAATATTCCTCCAAACACGGTTATTGTTATGGATATGGCTTCGTATCATTCTCGGTTATTGACTACAATACCAAACAATAAGACAAAAAAGCAGATATTGTTGATTTCATGCGAAATCATGACATGGAAATACCCGAAAAGATTCCAACAAAAAAGGTATTACTGGCGACCATAAAACAACGTAATTTCAAAAAAAGTATATTTTTAATTCGATGTGTGAAACACGTGGTCATATTCTCTTACGTTTGCCTCCATACTATTATGTGTTCAATCCAATTGAAATGGTTTGGGCCACAATGAAAGAAAGCTTGCGGAAATGTAATCAGTCACCGACTTTGAATGCTGTAGTGCTTGACAATATAAGGCGGGTGGTGAATGAAGTAGGTAATAGTGATGTGTGAAAGAACTGTGTGGCCCACGTTATAAAAGAAGAGAACAAATATTATGCGCAGAGTTCCATAAATTCGATCGTCATTCAACCCGATGATGATTCCACCTCATCCGAATATAGCGAAGAAGAATTTTGATTTTTCTAGCAATTTTGTTGGCTTCTATTATTTTGTAAATATATGTTTGACGAGAATTAGGTGTGATTATTTGTGTTTTCATTGTATTTTAGAGTTTTCGACTTGGAAATCAGCTACCTTAAATTTCGAAGTTTTTCATAATTACCCATGGTGGAAAAATTCAGTTGGGATAACTTTTTCATGGGGTGATCTGTTTTTTCTGTTTTTCTGTTTTTCTGTTTTTCCGTTAACCAGCTGTCGCACCCCTACGAACGACAACCCTCAGAAGTCGAAACTTGTGCGAGCTAAGGATTAACGAGGTCTTACCTTTTAACGTGTGATTCCTAACAATTGCTATGATTGTAAGAATAAGTAACTGAAAAACTACCATTGAAAAATAATATCGTATATATCGTATTAATAATGTCGACGCCTATGTCGAGGCGGGAATTCCTTCTCTGTGCTGTTCCAATTAGTATTGGAAATACTATACATCAGCGAAACTGTCGCCAGAAACACTACCTTATATCGGTAGATTTATTATCTAGTCCATACAGAAAATCAAAAGTGGTAATCGTTGAACGTTGGACATGGGCATTATGTGTGGAATATAACATCATTCAAAAGTCCACCACGGCTTTTCTGGGTGGAGCGCATCCTAAACGTTCAATTTTCCCTGACTCTGGCGCATAAATCAGGCTGAATTTGACCGATATAAAGGGTTATGTTGGCTTTAAGTACCTCTGTGGTTTGTGGCTTATTAGCATGTACCTGCGACTTGAGGAAACTTCACAAGAAAAAGTCCAACGGGGTTAAATCGCACGATCTCGGTGGCCAGTTCGCATCACCTCCAACTGAGATGACCAGGCCCTCGAATCGTTCGAACATAATATCCACTGTGGCACGAGCTGTGTGACATGTAGACCCGTCCTGTTGAAACCACATGTCATTGGTGCCCAGACCATCCAATTCAGGCCAAAAGAAGTTGGTGAGATTTTGTATATGCTGAAGAGAACGCATGTCTGCATCTAATAATAAACCAAGATTTCTGGCTGAGTTACAGATTTCCAATGGAGTATTATCAATTTGAAGATTAAAACTATTCTTTAAGAAGTTCATATTATTTTTACTACCGAAATAAGACACTTTGGATTTTTCAAAATCCACTTTCAAGTTGTGTTGCTCTGATGCTACCTTGATTTTACTCAATTCATTGTTCATCATTTCTTCTAACCCACACGTTTTCCGGG